GTTATGTTATTAATATAAATTTTGTATAGAGCACACGACGTGTAGGCACACCAAAGTAAGACAGGTAGACAGCGACTATTGAGACAGGTGTTCTACCCTATATAATACACTAGTGACGCGCCCCGGCTTCGCACGGGTGAAATATGTATGTATTATAACTATAAACCTTCAAGAAAAGATCGTATTCCTTTTTAAAAGGCCGGCAAAGCACCTGTGACTCCTCTGGTGTTGCGGGTGTCCATGGGCGATGCTAATCGCTTACCATCAGGTGATCCGTCTGCTCGTTTGCCTCCTATTCCATAAAAAAACCTTCCTTAATAAATACTCTATCTATTAAAAAAAACCGCATCAAAATCCATTGCGTAGTTTTAAAGATCTAAGCATACATAGGGACAGACAGACTGCGGATAGCGACATTGTTTTATACTATGTTGTGATTACAGTGAGGGAGCCACTACGTACTAAACCAGTGATGATACATAACAGCATCAATAACGTATCAAACTAAATTTTCATGACTGGTGACCCTTCTGCTTACCCCTTGGACGAACAACAAGCGACATACAACGTTTTTGCGTCAACAGCTCTATTGTTAGCCAACAAAGTTCCGAGATATCGAAATAGTTTCACAAACTAAACGGATTGTTTATGAAAGTTCAACCCCGGAAAGATTACCTCTTTAGTGGCTTACAGTTCCAAACAGGATCAGGCTTAATATTCTGTGTCTGTGGTATTCAGTGCTGTGTAGTTATTTTGGGAACACTTTGTTTAGAAATGTATGTGGGAATAGGTCGGTGAGATAGTTCTTACAACTTTGTTATTATTTTTACATACATACGTCATACATACATAAATTCACGACTGTCTCCCATGGGAGTAGGCAGAGACTAAGGAACGCCATTTACTACGATTCCTACATACCTCTTACGCTTCATCAACAGTCATCAATATTTTCAAGCACGCTCGTCGGTTAAGGGTACTTTTAATTTGGCCCTTCTTTAATATATCGCCAATCTGGTCAGTATATGTCCGTCTAGGGCGCCCTCTACCGACGGCCCCATTCATATTATTATGATGTGGTTATTTTTAAAGACTATATTTTGTTTTGCGTTCAGACCGAAGGTTGTGTGAAGCGGAAAGATTTTTTTATGAGAAAATATTATTGTGTTGTAGCGTTAAATACAGTCATGTACCAAATTAAAGGAACATGCCACATACTGTTGCCTAAGTAATCGACATCCGCACTTCGTAGAAAAAAAAATAACAATTTAGTCACAACTGGCGCATACTAAGATGTCATAATATTTAATAAAATAACATTTATTTCATATTAGGAGGCTGGCGTTAGATGACCAGATACAGAAGGCAGGTCTCTAGAGCCCTAACCACCGGAAGCTTGGACCATGCTCACGGTCCTAGTCGACTCCTATTTTTATATTTTTAAATATATTTTATAATAACATATATATTTTGAACTGTTAAAGAATTTATTAACAATACCAAGTCAAAACACGTCTTATCTTCATCTTACCATAAAAAATAAAGACACAAACAATATCCATAGGAACTTAAAATATATCTTCGATGAACGAAAAAAAGAAAAATCCTTGACACAGATGGGTATACAAAATGGCGGATTATTCAAGTAGATATTATTTATGGAGGGAAAAAAGGCCGAGGAGAACGCGGCACGGGAACCGGTACATATTTTATAAGCTGAACGGCGACGCACAAACCTGGAAAATTATTTAGTTTTGAAGTTCTTTTTACATCTGCAAGAATGAATTAATTTGTTTTGATAGCTGGTACCTGTTTGACTTTCTGCAACCATAGAAATGTATTTTTTTAGTTCTTTAATAGATTAGACATAACATAATATAACATCACGCCTTTTATCCCCAAAGGGGTAAGCAGAGGTGCACATTACTGCACTTAATGCCACTGTACAAATTTAACACTCACTTTTCACTATTTATGTTACGAGTCCCATAGGAGGTGAGTCTATTTTAATAGATTAGCCCATATATTCTGTGTACCTATACTGATAAGCTTTCTAAAAGCCGAAATTAAAAACTTATCGCAATTCATTTCATCACAATTGTATTCCTTAATCAAATCTATGACATTCTGCATTAGGGATTAGGCTGATGATATGACTGATGGTGATGGTTTAGTGGTTTAACTTCCAATTCTTAGTAGCGCTTAAATTCTATGTAAAGTAACAGAGATGGCACGGTATTTAAGTACAACTTAAAATTGAGTAGCCTTTCTTCAGTATTCGAGCTTTTAGGTATACCTCTATATAGTATGTGTCTTGTAAGGTTGCTTAGACATGAACATGCTCAGTTCAGGCATGCTCGCGAATCGACATGGGTTCTATATTTGAAAATTTTTAAGCATGCTCAATAGAACGCCTTTTGGCTTTATATTTTACTAGTTTTTACCCGCGGCTTCGCTCACGTCACAAAAGGATAAAAAGTAGCCTATGTGACATATACCAATACATACAGCGCCATCTATACCAATACTTTGTTTTCCCTCGGGAATATCAAATTTTTCCGGGATAAAAAGTACGGTTATTTAATACGGACTTCAAACTTTACGTCTGCAAAAAATCAAAGCAATCGGTTTAGTAGTTACGGCGTGAAAGCGGAACAAACAAACAAACTCACTTTTCGATTTATAATATTAGTAAGGATAGCTTGTGTCCACCTTTAGTCCTAACAAAAGGTCTAACATCAAGGACAGACATTTACTCTCTATCTAATGGTCGCACTTGTAAACATAAGCCTGACATATCAATTTGAGAAATGATAAATGTTTCAGTGATGAGACAGGAGACATTATTTCTTCTATAACTACTTAGATGTTTTCGCAGACATATTGTAGTGTTTCAAAAACAAGAACGGGCCTATCCATTATAGCTTAGATGTGTTCATTGTTAGTTTATTTCTTTTTATTTGCAGTTCATTGTATTTGTAAAAAATATACCTGGTAAAAATTCGCCAATAATTACAAAAAAGGAAAAAAGATATAACTTCTTGCCTTTTATCCCCGAATGGGTAGGCAGAGGTGTACATTATGCCACTGTACAATGTAACACCCACTTTTCACTATTTTTGTTATGAGTCCTATGTAATAAGGCTATTGCCATATACCAGGCACAATTCCAGACTCCGTGCTAGTACTGAGGTTTTTTGAAAAAGCCCAGTAATACTTTGCCCGACCCGGGAATCGAACCCGAGACCCCTTGCCCGGTCCTTGTATGTTAATGTAAATGTTAATGTAAATGTTAATGTTCAAATGTAAAACTTAAATTAATTAGTTTTAGATTTAAACATAATTACTCAGGATTTATGTAATGTAGATTACAATTCAATCCTTAATCATCTTAAACTTAGGTAATCTCCAAATTATAGCCTATGGAAATAAAAAATTTGCCAACTCCATCTAGTGCCAAACGCAATAACGAAATTTTCAACAATACGCCATCTGTGTACCGTTTACTAAAACTTTGCATCAACAAGGTTCCGCGCGTTTTCCATGCCCGGCTTTTCGTGTAGTATTATAAGAAAATTCTCATAGATGGCGCTGTTTTAAAAAGAACGAAATGAAATGTTTGGTCCAATTAATTTTCTTTAGCATAAAATATACATGAATGCCTGGTCTTATTTTTCTTCATATCAGTTATAATTTCATGATATTCAACGTAAAATGTCACGAAATGATTTTGATCGCCCCTTATAACTAAGTTTACTCTAAAAAGCATGAAAGACAATTTCGCAATTCAACCGTACAATCATAAATTCGGAAACATGCGGAAAATAGTTAAAATTAGGTATTTTCCTCTATTCATATCAAAAATAATTAAGTAATTAAACTTTTTATTATTCGACCTCCTTTTTGAGAAGTCGGTTTATAAAAGTCTTGAAGTTGACAAGTTTCCTAGTGCCATATTTTACGAATATTACCGAATATTAAAATATCTATATAAATACCTGTGGCCGCATTTGTTTGGTTCTCCTGCGCATTATTCTTCTCATCTTTGGCAGTCTTCGCTTCAGAGCTGGTGTTGCAACCCATTTTTGAAACTAATTAGTTCACTAAATACAAAGTATTGTCAAAAATACTTATATATAGGAACACAGCACTATATATAGGAGTTTAGGAACTTTCCACTATATCATAGTTAGTTTCTTGAAGCTCTCGTTTTAGTAGAAAAATCTGAAACAAAGAAATTAATTGATTGAGTATTTCGTTTATTTTTATTTACTGTCTCATCTTTTATATCCCAGGTATTGGTCAGACAGAGCTACAGGTATATAACATGCAATGTAACACCCATTTTAACTACTCATGTTATGATTATCTTGTAGGGTCGAAACACATAACCACTTTGCGTCGCCGTAACGCTAAAATCGGCAGTTTGCGTTGCGGCGTTGCGGCGCGTCGTGAAAAAGAGCGTTTTGTTGTTGTTCGGTAGGGTAACCAGTTCGTCGTGATTTTTATTGTGGATAAACGTGTCTATGCCATGGACCATCGTGAAAAACTTGTGAAAAACTTTTTGCTTATTTGGTACTTTAACAAAACGCTCTTTTTCACGACGCCGCAACGCCGCAACGCACCCCAACGCAAACTGCACATTTTAGCGTTGCGGCGACGCAACGCGGTTATGTGTTTCAGCCCGTACTATGGGGTAGCTCCTTATTTATACCTCTATGTTCTATGGGGTAACCTATTTTTATATTTTCAACTGGCTTCTGCCAGTAGGTTCACCTGCGTGTACGTAGAATAAAAAGTAGCCTATGTGGTAGTCCAGACCATAATCTACCCCTGTCCCAGATTTCATCCCGAACTCTGATGCTGTTTTGACGTGATTAAGTAACAAAGAGACACACGAACTGACAAACTGTCGCATTTATAATATCAATAAGATATAATAAATGTGAACGTCTTACACAATAGGTATGCAATTATACATCATTGTCCTTTCAGGAAAAAAATATTGTTTGTTGTTTTTGAGAACCGTCAAATTAAACACTGACGAGAATACAGCTTTCTGACAGTTCGTTGAGTTTCATGATGAAAAATTTAATTTGATAGAAATATTGACGTTAAGAAAAACAATTTCTCGTTCCCCAATTAAGAGCCACTTAATTATAAGTAATTCGTTGAACTTTGAAATAATTGTATTAGTAAAAAACTGGCTTACTCTTGAATCCAATTCCGAACGATCGACATTGCTATTATGAAATTTCGTACTCTTGAGTTGCAACACTAGCACGAATTGCATCGATATTACGTGGATATTTAATGAACTAAATGGTTTTAAGTTTGGCTTTATATTCCGAACTCTAAATGCTATTTTAACAGGTTTTAGGTAGTATTTTCACACATCGGGTTACATTATCGAAATTTTCACACGGTTCTCTTTTTTCTCTTGTACTGAATATAGCCTATGTTCAGCATCGATAATGTAGGATTCCAATGGTAAAAGAATTTTTTAAATCAGTCCGATAGTTTCGGAGGAGTTTCCATTCAAACAAACAAAAAAAAATCAAATCTTTTCTCTTTATACTATGAAGTATAGAAGTATAGATAATATGTGCTGCCAGTGCGATGAGATTGTACCTCTATATACAAAAACTAAAGGCGTATTAGTTCGCTGTACCTCTATAACATATAACATCATCATCATCAACAGCCTATAAATGCCCACTGCTGAGCAAAGCCTCTTCTCACACGGAGAAATTTTGAGCATCAATCGCCATGCTTGCTCAATGCGGATTAGGGATTTCAAAATTATAATGAGAAATTATAAGCCAGGTGTCCTCTCGATTTTTTCCTTCACCGTTTGTCAGTGGTGTCTAAATAATCTCAGAAAGTATTTATAACTCAGAAAAAGTCACATTGGTACATGCTGTTGGTAAAATTCGAATCCGCTCTTTCATACTGGCGTCTCAACCTCGGGCCACCACGACATATGATGTATAATAACAATAAGTATAAAAATACACTCCTGTTTTGTTTAAGTGAACTCTTATGACTTCCTCGGAAAAAGTGACCAATATTTTCTATACTGCTGTCACCATACGCCATACTAAACACATTGTAAATAGGTACATAACAGTATCTATCACATAGCACCTGGCAGGCCACACAATCACACTAGTCCAGCCTCCCCTTGAATGCGAACATTCGACTGAGGGATTCTCAAACAAAGGGTAGAAATGGCAGCTACTAATGAATCCTATTCATCACGAGACAGGGGAGATTTGCACAAATGGTATAGTTATATGTACGGTATGGTTTGTTCTTGTGAATGTAATCGACTTTTAGTTTTAAAGTTAAATCATTTTTTTTCAATTAGAGCAATCTTATATATATATATATATATAATATACCTATATAATTATATAAAAATTATATTATATCTTATATTATTATATAAAGCGGAAGAGTTTGTTTTTTTGTTTGTTTGTTTGAACGTGCTAATATCCGTAACTACTCCGTAACAAAGTCGCTATCCGCCGTCTGTCTGTCACTATGTATGCTTAGATCTTTAAAACAACGCAACGGATTTTGATGTGTTTTTTTTTTAATAGATAGAGCGAATCTTAAGGAAGGTTTATATGTGTAATACATGCTTATTGCACCCGTGCGAAGCCGGGGCGGGTCGCTAGTATTGTATAAAACTGAAGAGCTAGTTTATTTGTGTATGCGCTAATCTCCGCAACTGCTAGTCCGATTTTAATATATTTTTTTTATGTATATTATATTTATCGAGGAAGGCTATAGGCTGTAACATATCACACTATAATCAATAGGAGCCGTGCAGAGTGGGTTTTTTTTTTTTTTTTTTTAAGGGGGGAAAATCATCGAATGACTGCCCCCGCCTGGGTGAGGCGGGAGGGAGTGTCAGACTCTTACTGACTAAAAACCACCCCATTCCTTCTCCTGCACGTCGAGCCGGAGCCCCGGTTACCCGTTAGGTTCTCCGCGACTCCGAATCGGCATCGGCCCTATTGGGCCCCATCTGTGGTGGTCTGATGGCTCTTTGAGGCGCGCGCGGAACGCGACGCGCCGTACGCTCGGGTCTGTTTCTGGTCGGACGGGGAGCCACCCATGCTCGCCGTCCGCAGGCCCGCGCTTACGGTGGCCGGAGATCGTCCCGCGATCCCCGACGCCCGGTGTGTCCTTCGCGATGGCTGGGTTGCGAGGAGGCAGCGCTTCGCTGCCTCACGCGTCCCGCCTCCTCCTTAGCTAGCAATAATACTTTGCACGACCCGGGAATCGAATCCAAGACCCCTTGCCCGGCAGTCGCACGTAAATAAATAAACACAAATATTCTACTAACTTCCTAATAAATCTAAGATTAGCCCTTATTTGAAGTAATACTTCAATCAGCGTTTATCAGCGCGTATAACTAGCGATACCGGATTTTCCACTCCGCTGACCGTATTGATCAAACGGCGTCTGGGATAGGATGTACAGGATAACTCGTATTACAACGACATAAAGTTCATTTTAGATAGCACTTTTAAAATTCACACATTTATTCGAGTATGACTCAATGGGATGTGTGTGTTTGAATGGCAGTTGTGTGTGATTTCTTTCGTGTGAGTATTCTATACATCAATAAAAATGTGTATCAGTACGTTACATTCAAGTGTGGAAGAGACACGCTTCGGCACGTCGACCGGAGTGATACCACGGCCTCACAGAAAACCGACGTGAAGCAACGCTTGCGTTGTGTTTCGTCGTGTGAGTGAGGTTACCGGAGGCCCAATTACCCCTGTCCCCAGTCTCCCGAATCCCCGAATCCCCACAATCCTCAAATTCCTAATTCCCAAAAAGCCGGTAACGCACTTGTAACGCCTCTGGTGTTTCGGGTGTCCATGGGCGGCGCCGATTGCTTACCATCAGGTGATACGTCTGCTCGTTTACCGGCAAACATAGGTTCAAAAAACACAGCAATAGAGAAAAATATGTTTGTATATTTTATTGTCTAGCTAATAAACGTAGACAAGATACATAGTATCATTTGTTTTGTAAAATAGAACTAAAAAATAATGTGGCTAAAGTTTTATTGTATGCTGTATAGATTTGTCTGTAATTACCGAATCCGTTTAGTCACTTGGTATGATTTAGCAGGCATTTCGAAACATCTAGAAAGAAAGAAAATACTTTTCATAGTTCTCCATCGTAGACTGCATCAATGCTTACCGACTTAGCCAAGATAGTGGCCGAACGTCGACCCATCTTATATACTATTATATAAAGCGGAAGAGTTTGTTTTTTGTTTGTTTGAACGGGCTAATCTCCAAAACTACTGATTCCAATTGAATAATTCTTTTTGTGTTGAATAATTCATTTATTGAGGAAGGCTATAGGCTATAAAACATCTCGCTACGGCCAATAGGAGCCGAGCAGAGCGGGTGGAACTGCATGCAAGTAGCTAGTGATACCATAAAAAGTAGTTTAAAACGAGATACTGAAAATCATTAAAACAGATTTAAATCCTGAAAGCTTCAACGAACTGCAAACTAGGTCGCGATTAATATCCTTTGAACTGAAAAGTTAGACTCGGAAATGATTCAGTTAATCCTCGCCTGGGAATCGTATCTCATACTCTACAATTAATTATGATTCTAGATTCAACGAAGATTACTTTTAGTTTTTAAATGAGTCTTAGTTTTAAGTAACTCTCTTTGTGCCTGCCTCATTAGCCGAGTGGTCGCAAGTGCGACTGCTGGGCAAGGGGTCTCGGGTTCGATTCCCGGGTCGGGCAAAGTATGTACTGGGTTTTAAAAAAAATCTCAGTAGAGCACGGAGTCTGAAATTGTGCCCGGTATATGGCAATAGGCTCACCCCCTATTCCATGGGACTCATAAAATAAATAGTGAAAAGTGGGTGTTACATTGTACAGTGGCATAATGTGCACCTCTACCTACCCCTTCGGGGATAACAGGCGTGATGTTATGTTGAACTCTCTTTGTGATTAGCTGGTTTAGTATCCAATAGACTATGACGGTCCTCTGCTGGGCTATCATCATCACAAACAGCCAATAGTGGCCACTGCTGACCGAAGTGTATGGAAACTTGTATGTTTGTAAACGCACCCACGATACAGGAGAAAACCCTAGTGTAACTAAAAAAAGGCCTCTTTCAAAACAGAGCAGGTTTGATCATTAATCACCACGCTTGCTCAATGCGGG